TTTCTGTGCGACAGGGAGAGCAGTAGAGATCCTCTCACAAACGGACGGGCTAAAAGAAACTTCAAGCGGAGAACCTTCAACCATTCATCCAGATGCACCCCATGGTAGTGGCAGTGCCCCTTCTGGTAAGTGTACCAGGTGGGGGATTACAGCCAGGCTGCTTGGTCCTAACCCTGGGAGTGTATATTGCTAATATATTTTTATTTCTCTCCCTAGAACGTGTAAGAAAGCCATGGTCTGCATCTGAGGTGAAGGCTGTGGAGAAGACCATGACACCTTTCATACAGACTGGAAAGGTCCCTGGGAAGTCTCACTGCCTGGCCTGCATTAATGCCTCACCAGATGACCTTAGACATCGGACATGGAGTGGCATTAAATTCTATGTCAAAAATAGAATCACTGCAATTCGAAAACAAAATCTAAAATAAAATTCCTTTAAAATAGTTGTTTGGTTTCTATTGACTGTTTTGTATTACTTAAAGTAGTCCCAGTAAAAAAAGATTATGTCTATGGGTCCCATTCTGAACGGCCCTGTCAAAGGGACCCACCAGGTAACAAAAACGTGTGTGCGTGTGTGTGTGTGTGTGTGTGTGTGTGTGTGTGTGTGTGTGTGTGTGTGTGTGTGTGTGTGTGTGTGTGTGTGTGTGTGTGTGTGTGTGTGTGTGTGTGTGTGTGTGTGTGTGCGTGCGTGCGTGCGTGCGTGCGTGCGTGCGGATACATGGATACAGGGACTGCCGTCTGTTTTTTTTTTTGGATGGGTTGTTGGGTTAATGGATCGTTGTTTTTAATCATCTGTCAAGCTATTTTTGTTACATCTTTTGTATGTAAAGGGCTTTAAAATGAAGATGAATTAATTTGATTGATGTAGACAAGACCTCAAAGCAAGGTTTGAAACAATGTTGATTAGACTCTGTAAGTAAGTAATCTTTATTTATATACCGCCTTTCACAGACCAGAGTCACAAAGCGGCTTACCATTTGTAAACAAGTGTTCTCTTGCTTTGTAAATATTGTACATGGATCAACTATAGCAGGGTCTGTAGAGTGCAAACGTGAAGGCACACAAAGTTAAAGCATAATGTTTATTGACCTAAAATATGGGTCTTCAACCTTTGACTTGGGAGTTACCAGTAGCTCACCACCCTATTCAAAGTTGCACCCTACAAGATAAATTGAAAATATAAAAAATGCCTACTTTTTGCACTAATAAATTAAGATGTATTGCTTCATCAGTATATATTTTTTTTCCTTTTAAAAGGTAGAGATTTGCCATTGAAACAAGAACAAGACCATATGGTCTCAGGTCAGAAGCTGGAGATGATTGTCCAAGCTTTTGTTTCCTTGTGATTGGACAATTGTAACAGCCTGCTTACATGTCTTAGTAAAAAAGATCTGGCTCGTTGTTACGGCCACTGACGGGCCGTATATCCTCCTCTCTCAGGTGGAAGCTGTGCTCATTGGTGCGCGTGCGTGACACGCGGAGCCGCGCCTTTAAAGCTCGTGCACATGCCAGAGATGGTGGTTGGCTCATCCTGCTCCCATCTTGACACCTGCGTGTCCCGCCTCCTTTTGTATGGTTTTGGTTTGGTTTGGTTGCTTGGTTCGTTTTGGTTCGTTCGTCTTGGTTCGTTTTGGTTTATTTTCTACACACCATTCAACACTGCAGACATACGCTCACGGCACATACACTAACACGCACTCATTACAGACTTCCACACCTCATTAAAATATTAACAGTTGCTTATTAATAAATATTATTTCAATTGGCAACTGTTGTTTGGCGTGTTTCTGTCATTTCTATTGAGCCGGGTTATGACAGAATGGGGGCTCGTCAAAACTATTAGTTGGTAATTTGTTTGCTTGTTTTTTGTTCTTTGGTTTTGTGTCCTGCCCGGTGTTTGCAGTCCGGAGTGCTCTGGCGTGTGGGCGCCGTTGGGTGGCTTGAGAGCGGAGTCTCCCTCTGTGGAGCTGGGACGCTGTGGGTGGTCTCTCCGAGACGCCTGTGTGTGTGGATGCGGGAGAGGCACGTTTTTGTTTTTTTTTGCTGGGAGTTGGAAGGATGAGTTTGGCCCGTGTTCAGCAGATCAAGGTGAGTGAAGTGTCTATTTAGCACCTAGATCCAGTGGTGACAGTTTGATCGGTGTCCCGGGTAGGCACAGGGACGTGGCTCTTTTGGCTGCGTTTATTTTTTTTGTTTTATTTTTTTTTGTTTAAGTCGCGGGGAGCGGTTGGTGTTCGCCGTTTTCACGGCGTTCTCGGGTGCACAAACCGTGGTCACACTGGTCTCCCCTTGGAGTGCTTAAAACCCCGCCGCAGAACCGTGTGAAGATCAGGGTTGAGTCTAGGTTTAGCGGGACATTTGGTCAGCTGTGGATCTTTGTGGGTGTGCGTTTGCTTTGGGCACTTTAGCTCACGTTGATTTTTGCGGGACTGGGTAGGGAATTACAGAAGGATGGTGAATATCTCTGACCTTTTTTATGCTCCCTCTGAGGAGTTTTTGTTCCAATGCACTAAGGAACAACTTATTGACATTGGAAAGAGAAATGATCTGGATCTGGACATTAAACGATTAAAGGAAAATTTGAGATCGATATTGGTGGCGAATTTGATTAACCTCGGTGTGTTGAAGGACAGGCCAGGGGCCACTATGTCTTCAGATGCCACAGGTGAGGCCTCTGGTTCTGCTAATCCTGGTGCAGCGGTGACGCAAGCTCTCACTTATGAGCAGCAACTCAGATTGTTAGAGTTACAATTTGAAATAGAGCGTGTGAAGTTAGAGCAGATTAAAAGGCGGCAGGAGGAGCCTCACTCCTCCACTCTGCAGGCTGTTGGCTCTGACGCTGCGTTTGATGTAGTTGGGAATTTGCGTTTGCTACCAAAATTTTCGGAAAATGATCCGGATTCCTTTTTCCATATTTTTGAGCGCTTGGCTATAGCGCAGGGTTGGAACAATTCGGAGCGCACAATGCTTTTACAGTGTGTTTTGGTGGGCCGCGCTCAAGAGGCCTTGTCTGTGCTGTCTGTGTCAGACAGTCAGGATTATGATTTGGTGAAGGCCGCAGTTCTGAAGGCGTACGAGTTGGTGCCAGAAGCCTACAGGCAGCGCTTTCGATCTAGTAAAAAACCCGGGGGTCAGAGTTATTTGGAGTTCACGCGGGATTTGAAGACTCATTTTTCTCGCTGGTGTGCAGCATCCAAAGTTGCCGATTTTGAGAGGTTGAGTGAGTTAATTGTTTTGGAGCAATTGAAAAATTCTATGCCAAAACCTGTGGCGACTTATATTTGTGAGCAGAAGGCTGAAACTGCAAGTTCAGCAGCTGCGCTTGCAGATGCTTATGTTTTAATTCACAGAGGACCGGTCGATGATGTCACGCGTGGTCCTGATTACATGCGGGTGTCTGTCAATCAGTGAGATGGGAGTGAAATGTGTAATTATTGTCACGAGGAGGGCCATTGGAAGGCTGAATGTCCAGTGTTGAGGTCCAGGAGTAACATGTCCAGTTCATATGTAAAGCCTGCTGCGTTCGCGGATCCAGTTCATTGTGGGTCTGGGGTGTTTACATCTTATTCACCGTTCATTCGTGAGGGCTCTGTATCCAGTGATGGGAATAACGGCGTTACTAGTAACGGCGTTACTAACGGCGTTACTTTTTTCAGTAACGAGTAATCTAACTAGTTACTTTGACTGTAACTATAACGCCGTTATCATTTCCGACATCCCGTTACTGCGCGTTACTCAAGACGCACAATGAACTTCTCTTTTTACTTTGTGATAGGACTCATGCGCGTGTTGTCATGAGAGAAGGGAGGATGAGAAAACCTCTCAGCAATTATTGGCTGATGTAAAACATATTTCCTTTACAATCTACATGTCTACAGTTGAGAGGATAGCTCATGAATTGTGTTTTTGAAACAAATATGGGTCTTAATTGCGCTCAACCACGGCTTGTATCACCGTGAGGTCAGCCTCAGAGGAGAGCATGTGAGCGCAGAAGTCGGCTGCATACAATTCCATCCAAAAGCTCCTTTCTCCTCCTGGTTTATCTGCTAAGGACAGCAACAGGTTTGGCTAACATACATGTAACACATTTTAAGATAATTTAAAATGCACTTAGGGTAATTTTTCAATGACTATAGGAATGATAAGAAAGAAAGGTGAAGTGTAAGACGGTTGATTTTAGAAATTGGATGCACCCGGCTGCAGCTAGCAAAACAGAGGTGTTTATGGAGGACACACGCGTTTTGTTTTACTTTTTAAAACTCATTGGACTCATTTCCAAATGGAAGATTACATATCTACGCTCAAACTATTATCTGGACTTAAACACAGAACTGGTCTGAACCGAAGTGGCCTGTGCAGGTCATTCATAAGACCCATAACTCATAGTTTTGCGTTTTGTATGAACAAACAATGCGGGCATGAAACATATTCTGCTGTAGCCAAACAAATTGTGAATATGCCGCTCTCTTGGTCCTCTTGATTTATATGATATATATGTTCATCTGATTGGGCTGAAGTCAGTGCTTCACCGGTGTTTCCACATTCACAGTGGCGGGTGTTGGTGTTTAGTGCTTACAGCACAGAGAGAGATGGAGAGTGAACAGGACTTCAGCAGCAAAACAGACTTTTCTAGATGGAAATATTGGCACTATTTCAAACTCACTGAGGTTAAAGGTAAAAATGCGCACGTCGAGTGCACATTATGTTTCAGAACAAAACAAAAAAGTAACGCAATAGTTACTTTTACTGGTAACTAGTTACTTTTATAGTGGAGTAACTCCGTTAGTAACTCAGTTACTTTTTGGGAGAAGTAACTAGTAACTATAACTAATTACTTTTTCAAAGTAACGTGCCCAACACTGTCTGTATCTCTGCCTGGGAGAGATAAAGTCCCAGTTAAAATCCTGCGGGATACAGGGGCGTATCACATGTTCGTGGTCGGTTCAGTGTTGCCTTTCTCCGCAGAGACCGCTACGGGAGACTTCGTATTGAGCCGTGGCATGGGCATGGCCGTGTTGCCTATTCCGTTGCACAGGATGTGTCTGGAGTGTGAGCTGCTGCGAAGGGGGGTCGCTGTCGGTGTGCGTCCAGCGTTGCCCATAGATGGGATTCATATTATTTTGGGAAATGGGTTGGTTGGTGGTTGTGTCTGGGCTGACACAGACTCTGGTGGTGGGGAGACTGTGGATGCTGTCGTTGGGGAGGTGCCAGCTAACCCACTTGTGGGTACATTGGGTCCTACTGTTTCTACGTGCACTGTGTCGTTGCAGCCAGACGTGTTCCATGCCTGCGCGGTGACGCGGGCCAGTCATGGTGCAGAGTTGGATGTGGCTGACGCAGGGCTAGTTCAAGCGTGTGAGGATGCTGACACTGTGGTGAGGTCCTTTGATGTGTCTGTGTCGGAGGCACACGTGGAGAGTTGGCCAAAGGAGTATTTTATTAAGGATTATGTGCGCCCTGTTCGGGCTGTTGCCGCTCTTTCTGTGCAGGAACCTGAGGATGGAGTGCTGGGGGCTCGGTGCAAGTCTTCCTCTTCTTCCCCTTTGGGCTTCGGAGCTGTGGAGCCTGGTGGAGGCTGCGAAGTGGGCGTGGTCTTCTGGGTGGTGTTCGTTTTGCACTCGTTGTTGTGCGCTAGTTTGAACGAAAATTCTTTGGGGAGAATTCTCGTGTTTATGGGGGGGGGTGTTACGGCCACTGACGGGCCGTATATCCTCCTCTCTCAGGTGGAAGCTGTGCTCATTGGTGCGCGTGCGCGACACGCGGAGCCGCGCCTTTAAAGCTTGTGCACATGCCAGAGATGGTGGTTGGCTCATCCTGCTCCCATCTTGACACCTGCGTGTCCCGCCTCCTTTTGTATGGTTTTGGTTTGGTTTGGTTGCTTGGTTCGTTTTGGTTAGTTCGTCTTGGTTCGTTTTGATTTATTTTCTACACACCATTCAACACTGCAGACATACGCTCACGGCACATACACTAACACGCACTCATTACAGACTTCCACACCTCATTAAAATATTAACAGTTGCTTATTCATAAATATTATTTCAATTGGCAACTGTTGTTTGGCGTGTTTCTGTCATTTCTATTGACCCGGGTTATGAATTATTAAAAATTCTGCTGCGAGGCTTTTGACCCGCAAATACAAGAGAGCCCACCTTCAATTTTTCTTGTGTTGACATTTAGGGCTCTACATGATCAGGTGCCTGAATTCATCCAGGGCCTGATCCACCCTTATGTCTCCAACAGGAGCCTGAGGTCCTCCACTCAGAACCTGTTGATGGTCTCCCACACTCGTTTTAGAACCAGAGGAGACTGATCCTCACCTTTGGAATGAGCTTCACCAATCTCTGCACATCTTAGAGACTGTTGTTGATTTAAATTCCCAACTTAAGACTTCTTTGTTTAGACAAGCTTTCTCGCATCACTTTACTTCGATCTCTGTGACCTGTGTTCTTGATGATGACCGTCTTCTGTGCCTTTGTTTTAAATATGACTTGCTTGTGTATTATTTCTCCATCCAACTTCTTCCCCTTAATCCATGGGTCAGGGGGGTGGCAGTGAGAGCTGCACCCAGTACACATAGCACCAGCCCCTCACTGATCCTTCAGTGAGGGGCTTCAGGCAAAGTGGGGTTAAGTGTCTTGCCCAAGGACACAACGACAGCAGTCATCAGTGGGAGTTGTGAAGTAGGTCTCACGGTGGGCTCAAACCCACAACCTTCAGGCCCAAAGGCCAATGCTCTACCAACTGAGATACTATGTGTTAAATGTGAAGCGCTTTGTGATCCTGGTCTGTGAAACGCGCTATATAAATAAACGTTACCTACTTACATTATCAGTGCTTTTAAATAAGACAAACCTGGTTATTCTGTTGTTTATATAAAATAAACCAATGATCTCCCAAAGGTATGTTACAGATGAATCATTCCCATAACATCTTCATAGGAAAAAACTGGGGTTATGCAGCGCTGCTAAAAAGCTCAAGGTAAAGATCATTTAAAATCCAGTTAGCGTTAGAAATGTAGGTGGAAAAAGACACTCGTGTAATAACAATATCCCCAAGGTTTGTGGGCGATTGTGTCATGAATCTCACACCAGCCCGCTCAGACTGTAAAGCAATGGGGGTGCAACTCATTATTGCAGCGATAAGTTGTTTACATGACGCCTCAGGCCAAAAGTGTCACTCTGATTCTATTAACAACTCTACACCTTTTACACAAAACAATCACAGCTGACAGGCAACACGCACCCACATCTATTCACTCCATTGTCTGCACAAAACCCTACACTTAAAACAGTGACGATACGTGGAATTCACTCTTTTCACTGTTATTTTCTCATTTTGTTTGTGTATTCAATAGTCTAAAATAATTTCTTTTCAGCTCCTAACAATGTCATGAAGCAGGCATCTACATTTTTTCAAAGGTTACAGTAGTCCCTGGTTCATGGTGGGGGTTATGGTCTAAAATATGCTGCATGAAGTAAATTTGAAGTAGCAGCTATATGTTTTATAGCCACACACTTAATAAGCTTTGTTTCTAAATATAGTTATATATATTACATAGTATATTTTATTTTAGAATGTGGTTTGAAACTAAGGTGCCCCAGCTTTAAAAGTCTTCTTTCATTCATTCGTTTCCATTGTAAACTATGACTACAGTATGTAAAATTGTCATTGCACCTTTTGGAGAACACACAAACATTTGAATCATTGCTCCAAAAATGTCCTTTGCGTGACTTCAATTTGGCTCCCATGTGTTTAGTGCAATCAAATCAGACCACAAATTAGACCACCACGTCCATTTATGGCAATGCAAGAGTTTAAGGAATGATATGAGAGCGCGCTTCGAACATCCATCCTCTTCATGGCTCTTAATGAGTGTGAGTTATTTGGCTTTTCCGTCAAAAGTTATGGGGATAAATGTGGAGGAAGGTCTGCTAACATTCCAGGCAAACCTCTGTTATAAACACTGAGCAGTCCTGTAGTGGCGCAAACAAAAAATAGCAGTGTCACGGGTGAAAGAATGTAGCCTTTTAACTTCAGGAGAACTGTGCTTCATGGACGAGAAACGGGAATCTACATGCAAAATCTACTCAATAATATGAACTATTCATTTTTATGCAATAACAAAACTTAAAGAACACATATTATGCATTTGTGTGTGCTCATTTTGGTCCATAAATATGATCTGGACAATATTTTATTCATTTTGTAGAATGTTTAAGTTGAAAATATTTGGATAAACAATGGTCCTTCGTTTATTGTAGGGGTAATGATCTGAAAATCTGCAATAAGCGGAAAAACTTGTGAAATCCTTGAAGTAGCAGTTATATGAAGCTGAAGCGCAAATTCAGACTGAAAGACCGGCCACGGCTCTCACCCGTCCAGGGCCTGCCGATCACACAGCTCTGCCAGCCTCTCGAGCCCCGTCAATCGCACAGCGCTGCCAGCCTCGAGCCTCTGTCAATCGCACAGCCCGGCCAGCCCCTTGACAACCCACTGACAGCAAAGCGGGCAGTTTAAAAGCAGCCACTCCTGCTTTTAATCTCCTCAGCTCCTGGTTGCCTCTAGCCACCAGTGCTTGACCCCGGGGGGTCTGAGATCATCTACAGCAGCAGACGATCTCCCCTCTGCAAGTGTCACTGCCGGGGTCAATGCGCCAATCAAATATCAAATAAATCTTTTTCGTGCATTAATGTTTCTGTCTTGGTCTCTTCAGATTGGAATGCTTTAAGGCTGTAAAACCCCTAACACACTTTATACACTTTTCTATCAACCTGAACTCACGACTGCTAAAGTTCCATTGTGGAGATAGCAAACCTGTTAGTCGTAGGGTGGAGCGCTGCTGCAGCTGTCAAAAGTCGGGCATACTGTAAAATAGAGCTGCAGAGGAAACTGCACTTAAAGGCAGGTGCAGAACTGTTGTCCCCTCAACTAATAACAGTGGTGAACACAAGTCACAAAAGGTAACTGTCATGTTATACTAGCGCATATATGAAGTTGTATATGATGAGTATACACGCTACATGAGAAGCATACTGGGAACAAAATCATGCAAAATTGCACACATAAAAATATGCAAAACAAGTGTGTGGTGAGGGGTTTTACACCATTAAAACATACAGCTGCTACTTCGTGGATTTCAGTTATTGTCATTTATGAAAATTGCTTTTTGAATCTTTTTTGACTTACAGTATTTTGAAATAAAATTGAGGCTCAAATTGGTCCGAAGGGCCCAGCTCTCATCTGTTTTAATCACTTTTGATGTGCCAGGCATGAATGCTCAGATGGCATATGGAAATTATCTACAAAGATCCAATGACTCATAGACATGTTTAGCACAATCTGTAACAGTTCAAGTTGTGAAAAATCGCAATTTCATTTCAGCAATTTCACTGGATGCATTTACATCAGCAAAACCTCGATAAATAATCCCTCCTTGTTTCCGTTTATTGTTGGAACAAGACAGATTTTCAGATTCGCTTCATTTCATCTCAACATTTCCAAGAACCTTCACACTAGTTTTGGTCTTTGGTTGTTTTTTGTGAGCTACATTTGCAAAACGTCAGTCCAAGAATGCAATTTGAGCCAGGATGTTGGCAAAACATGTCAAAGTGTGTATTATTGCACTGGATACAGTGTAAATTGTGGTTGCCTTGATGTTGGAGGTCCCTGGAGCTACGAGCAGGGCATCTGAGGAGAGAGGCTGGATAAACAGGTCAGCAGCTCCCCCTGGTGGCAGAACACAACATGAAATTAAAGCAGATATGCACATTAGTGAAAATCAGGAAACTGGAAAGAGACCTTAAAAGTAAGTAAATATTTGTACTGTGTATTTTAACTTTTGATTGTAAAATTAAATCCTGCACCAGTCACTCCTGAATAATAATCAATAAACTTGAATCCATCCTTCAATATTAGGACAACGATTAGCCTTCTGGTGCTACCCCAACTACCTTACTACTAGAAAGACTTAACTAATAGTACAAATAGCTGAAAGATCATTTGTTACAATTTATGTCTGAAATTAAATTGAGATAACTGCATTATATAAAGCCCTTGTACTTTATTAGAATAGACAAACCTTTGTTTTTGATTGTGTCACAAAATTATGTTGTAGCTGTGTTGAGATAGTTAACACTAGTACACTTACTTTCAGTCAATGTAAATCAATACGGACATTGTATACCATTTTCAAATCTGGGTTGTCGGCCCATGAACAAGTGAGGCCCAAAAAAAGTGGCCCAAAAAAAGTTTGGACACCCCTGCCCTAATCATAGCCACCTTATTTAAAGGGTGTGCAGGAGAAGCTCAGGGGCCCACCATAGTCAAGGCCTATCAGAATGATAAATGGGTAAATTGTTGATTGTTATGTCAAACACTAATTCATAAGCATGTGTTCCAGTATAAAAACTGCACAAAAAGATGTCAGTGATTACATTTATTTTTCCTAAAGATTGAAAAAAGCTGAATGTAAGCATTTTTTTCATTTGTACAATTTAGTGAATGTACAACATATCTGTATGTATAATTCAATTCTGATTTCATTTCTGCAAGATTTTTGAAGCAGGTTTCCTCTTTTTCTTTATGTTGAATTGTTGAGAGATTGATGTATTACATTTTTTTAATCGAGTTAATTACAGCTTAATTAATCGTAACTAATCACATTTCGAACTAACGGCACAATTATGCATTTTTTCTGTAAATGGTTGTTTAAATGGTAAAATATATGACGACATAGTGTGCATATGTTCTGTATTTGTTTATTCTAGCAATAAAT